AAGCATCCCAGAAACCACACAGAAAGTCATAAAGTCAAACATAACTTTTAAAAACACCAGTATAGGCTCATGAGGCCCTGATGGTAAAAAAAACTACATTTCCGTGAAAATGACGTCACTTCCGGTTTCGGGCAGGTCATGGCGGACAGGCGATAGTTCGCGCTGACGTCTATTCCAACGTAGGAAGTGTCATGAACAGCTGATGGATCAGCAAAGCGTGTTTCTGGAATATTATGTTTTTGTTGCTGCAAGTGCTTTTTATGCAGTTTTTGCAAAGTTATATGTGGAAGGAAACTGTGACCGAGGACAAGCTGATGGCATAAGATGTAAGTACAACTCCTCCGGTTTCATATGCAAAAAGATTTTTTGTGCTAGCTCACGTGGTTGCAGAGCTACCGGGATTTAAAAATAGTTACGCAAAAAACAGAGCGTGCTGCTCTGACCGGCTTTAAAGGGTTAATGAGGAGATCTCTAAAACTACTGTTCTCCTAATTAATCTCTCCAAATGAAAGATAAGACAATGCATCCAATGAGTATCTCCTGGACACAGCGTCTCTGATTACAGCTACAACGACCGTGCACACCTGCAGTTTTCTTACCATGTCCTGATTCTCATATTTTAGCTTTTGCTTGTCGATTAGTGTTTTAGAAGAAAAAGTCACACTAAATTAAAGGTACCTACTCATCACTGAAAGGAGAGCAAGGTGCTTATGTTGGCAAACATCGACTGTGTCAAGTAATCCAACTACATGCTGTTACAACAGTTGGGGTGGGGGGCATCCAGGAGTTAAACATTGTACAGTTAAGTCGAGTTTTCACAAGACAATGAGAGTGGGAATTCCCTCCGACTCCACTCACTCCCAGTGGAATCAACCAGTCATCGACCAGGATGTTGGATATGCGCACTGACATAAGTCATAACGAGTCGTGCTACACACCACGATCAGGTCTCCCGAGGGGTAAACACTCAGTTCTCTATCACAGTACTGATAGGGCAAGCTTCAATATTGCCATGGAGACAAGAGGCAAAGAAGGATAAGAGTCAGACTCTGCTCTGCATTCAACATTACTAGTGCCATTTATGAATAACTAACAGCACAGCATTACAGACACTAGCCCGGTTACTTCGCTGTCACCCTTTTGTGTTTTTTGAAATCCCAGCGCGGCTGGGGCACTGCACACCAAAGGAGAGGAGGAAAAGAAAATCTTTGACGACAACTGAGATTCAGGGTAGTTGCACCACTATTTATAACCTGCCCAGTCTGCTCCGTGACAGCAGAGGGGGATGGAGGGAAGGGGAGAGAAAGTGAGGGAGGCGAAGCCAGACGCACAGACAGAGGGAGGCCTGTGAATTCCAGAGCAGAGGAAAAGACCATTGTGTTTTTTCCCCTCGACTGGGGCCCTCTGCCATCAGCGCACTGGGTAAAGAGGCGATAGAGCTAAAAACAGGGCATGTGCACAGCTCAAGAGAGGAGCTGCTTGATCTTCAGTACCATCTTGTCTATTATTATAACAGTGTTTAAATGAAGCTACCACACAACAGTAACTGTCTGCAGATGTAGGAGAGTGAAACAGTAGATGCGACAGTGAGGCAGCGATAACGACACGCTGGCAGCAGATACAGTTTACACAATTTCTAACCTGGACGCTGCAAATGTCTCGCAAACACAAACAAACGTGGCTGTGCCTACACAAGATCAAATAGCTGCACTGCCCCGTGATCAGCTGTCTGGAAAATCTGACCAAAAGCACCATACCAACTCCTCTTAGTCAGCAGCTAACATTACGATTGCAGTTTTTAAAAGCATTTTCTACAAAGACCTCCAATGAGGAGGGTAGCTGGTGGGGAAGAACTGCTATGGTCATTTTGTCCTCACTAGCCGTGTCTCTGTCTGTTATCAATGACCTCTGACACAGACGGCAAGAAACCCAGCTCAGCAGATAGCAACGAGGAGGTGGAGGACACCTCAGCTGCACACAACACACACACACACACACACACACACACACACACACAGAGTAAGAGGAGAGAAAGGAAACAGACGGTGCTGGCACAAGGGTACCTCCTCCCCTCCCCAGCAAAAATGCACCCATCAGGACTGAGGTCAGTCCAGGCTTCAAAACATCAACAAACACATATGAAGCCAGATCCTTTGTTTGCTCTGGTTCCAGCAAAAGGGCCAAACATGAAAAACAGCCCAAACACAATGTTTACTGAGAGGATCTGCAGCAAAAACACAACAGGAAATCCCTGGTACGATCCACACTATCCGATACCTGCTCCTCCCCACAGCCAGCGCACGAATGCATGTGTTCGTGCCAAGTGAACAGTGGGAACACAACCACTAACGTGAGGGCTCGTCCCACTCAGCTGCACCCAAACACATCACAGCCTCGCTCAAAACGGCAATGTTATGAAATAAAAAGAGGAGGATAAGGACAACAAGCAGTGCCAGCTTACCTCTTGTTGATGGGCTTCTCATCTTTCTCGTAGGGTTTGACAAACCACTTGCCGATGCGAACAAAGCTGCGATTCATGAGGCAGCGCTCCAACAAGTTGTGGATGGCTTTGAATAGCAGAGTGCGACACTCGTAGGAAGGGCCATTCTCCCAAAGCCCGTCGTCCTCGGCTGGTAAAGAAAACAGAAAAGAGCTATCAGAAAGGTGAAGATTTGAGTGCTCTCGTGCCATTTTTATAGAGAAAACAGTAAGAAGTCTGCAGGGCAAACAATCAATCGTGTCAATCAGGAGAGCGCGTCGCTGCTGTGCTGAGGAGAAGCAGCCTTACACTCGATCAGACGGCTCTGTCACTAATAAGGAGATTTATCAGTGTTTACAAATTACATATGGCAACGCCAACTGTCATAACTACACATATTGTCACATCACACCCGACACGAGTTTACACTAAAAACGTTTCATCACCCAGAATGACCTGATTCGACTTCAGAGTGGGTGACACATAAATGCTGTGAAAGTGTTTATTTTTTAATAAGGCATCACTGCTGAATGTGTAGAAACTTCTGACAAACAGCACACCGTGTCCACGACTTCACAACAAACCTCACGCTGACTAAATGTCCCTTTCGTTCTATAGATGTCATTATCAAACAGCCTGCAGCATCACAAACTGTCAAATAAACTGACGCGTGGCAACCAATCACACCAGCGGTGTGAATTCATATTTAGCCACTAGAGGAGACCGGGTTAGTCTTGTGACGTGATGTTTGTCACAGTCTGGACGCAGAGACA